AAAATTATGTTAAATTTTTTCTTATACCAATGTTTGTGAGGGATCTTGTTCTGTGGTTTTCTTGTGATGTGTTTGTCTGGTTTAATTATCAGGTTGTGATAATTATAATTTTAATTATAGCCTTACAGAATGTTTTCTCCTCTTCATCTTTTTTGAAAAGTTTATGTAGAATTTGTATTGTTTTACCTTACTTGGTTTGGTAGAATTCACCATTGAGGCCTACTGGCCCTGCTTGTTTTTATGGAAGGGTTTTAACTATAAATTCTATTTCTTTAATATATATAGAACTCTTCTGGTTTTTTATCCATTCTTGAATTAGCTTTGGTATAGTTTTTGCCTTTCAATGATTTTGTCCATTTCACCTAAAGTGCTTGAAGTTTTTGCAAAAAGTTTTGAATAATACCCTCTTGCTATCATTTTAATATCTAAAATCTATAGTGATAGCTCTTTGTTCCTGACTTTGGTAATTTTTTTTTTTTTTTTTTTTACTATATGAAAGTAATTGCTAAGTCTAATAAAAATCAGAGTGATTTTCAGTGCCTATTGCAATATATATATTCTTTGAATTTTTATTGACATTAATACCAATTTTTAAAGAGTAAAGATGAATCAATTTCTCTGATAGTTGTAATATTTGTCTTTTTATTCCTGGTCAGCTTAGCTGTGCTGTGCTTAGTCATGTCCAACTCTTTGTGACCCCATGGACCTCATGGACTCTTTGCAAGCCCACCTGCAAAGCTCTTCTGTCCATGGTGATTCTCCAGGCAAGAATACTGGAGTGGGTAGCTGTTCCCTTCTCCAGGGGATCTTCCCAACCCAGGAATGGAACTGGGATCTCCTGCATTGCAGGTGAATTCTTTACCAGCTGAACTGCCAGGGAAGCCCCAGCCTAACTAGGGGGTTACTAATTATTTGATGTTCTCAACGAACCAGCTTTGGATGTCATTTGTTCCCCTTGTTTTTATGTTTTTTACTTCATTGATTTCTTCTCTGGTCTTTATTATTTCCTTTATTTTGTGTTTCATTTGGCCTTTTCTAGTTTTTTAATGTGGAAGCTGTCTTTTAGAATTTTCTTTTAAGGTTCCATTTTATATCTTTGGGGGGCTTAGTAGCTACAACTTATAAAATAGCCTTAGTGTTGCTTTTTAGTTTATATTGCACATTCTAAAGTCATCACCGTCCACCCTCGCATTGTATCACACCTCACTTCCGTTTTCCTTTGCTCAGCTGTCATGCTGTGATTGCCATACACTTTCCGTTTCCAAACATGGCCTTAAGTCCACACTGGATAGTTATTATTGTTGTTTTAACAGACAGTTGTTTTTAAAGAGATTTAAATAACTACAATGACTTTCTATAAGTCAAGTTAATATTTCCAATCCTCCATTTCTTTTTGTAAACACAGATTTTCATCTTATGTCTTTTTTTTTTTTCTGCCTGAAGAGTGTTCTTTAACTTTTCTGATGCTGCAGATCTGATGAATTCTTTTAGCACTTCTGCCTGAGAGAAACTTTTTTCTCTTCAGTTTTGAAAAAATATTTTTTGATGAATATAAAATTGGGTTGACAGTTTTGTTTTCTTGCTTTTTTACTATTGATGAGAACTCTTGTCATCCTTGTTTTATACCTCTGTATGAGGTGTATCTTATTTTTTCTCTGGGTGCTTTTAATGTTTTTTTTAATCACTGGTTTTCACCAATTTGGTTAAGCTTATGCCTTGCTGGAGTTCCCTTCTTGTTTCTTACACTTGGAATTCTTTCAGTTTCTAGAATTTGTAAGTTTATAATTTTCATAAAACTTTTGGCCATTATTCCTTCTGATATTATCCTGCCCCACACAATCTCCTGTTCTTTAGGGACTCCAGTTACACGTTCATTAGGTTGTTTGAAGCTATCCCACAGTTCTTTCATGCTCTGTTCTTTTTCTCTTTTCTTTCCATATTTCTTTTTAGATACGTTCTGTTTCTATGTGTTTTAAATTCATGAATCTTTTCTTCCACAGTGTCTAATCTACTGTTAATCTTAACCGTTCATAAGTTTTCATCTCATTATTATGGTTTTCATATTTAAAAGTTTAATTTGTGTCTTTATGAGTTTCATGTCTCTGTGAAACATGCTTAATAGACATGAAATGTTTAATTAACATCTTCAGCTTCACAGAAGTGTATTCTACAGAACACAGTTACGATAACTTAATGCTTTTGTCTGCTATCTCTGGGCTTCCCAGGTGGTGCACTGTTGTAAAGAACCTGCCTGCCAATGCAGGAAATGTAAGACATGCAAGTTTGGTCGCTGGGTTGGGAAGATGCTCTGGAGGAGGTTGGCAACCCACTCCAGTATTCTTGCCTGGGAAGATGCTCTGGAGGAGGTTGGCAACCCACTCCAGTATTCTTGTCTGGGAAGATGCTCTGGAGAAGGTTGGCAACCCACTCCAGTATTCTTGTCTGGAGAATCCCATGGACAGAGGAGCCAGGTGGGCTACAGTCCATGGGGTTGTAAGAGCAGGAGACAACTGAAATAACTTAGCACAGCACACCAAGCCATTTCTAGTATCTGTGTCAGTTCTGGATAGCCTTAATAGATTGAATTTCCCTTCATTATGGATGTATTTTCCTTTTTATTTGAATGGATGTTAATTTTTTGTTCAATGCTAGACATTGTGAATGTTCTTTAGGGTACAGAGTATTTTTGTATTCTGATAAATATATTTGAGTTTTGTTCTGAGACATAGCCAAGTTACTTGGGCATAGTTCCTTTGAACGAGGAGATCTTTTTTTTTTTTTTTTCTAGGTTGGACCAAAGCAGTGGTNATTTTTTTTTTTTTTTTTTATTAGGTTGGACCAAAGCAGTGGTTAGTCTAGGGACAATTGTACTGCTCTTCTGAAGCAAGATGCTGCTCAGTACTGTACCCAGTGCCCCACACACTTTGGCGTTTTCACTCTTGTCTTGTGGGCACGGTACTCTTACTCACCCTGGGTGAGCTCTGGCTTTGCCCCTCTAATGCTTCTTGTTGGGTCCTTCCCGGGCTCTGGGTGATTTGCACACTCTGACTGGGACTCTGTTGAATTCTTGAGGGAACCTTTTGCAGAGCTCTGGAGTCCTCCATTCTCCTACTCTTCTCTGGTCACTCTGACAGTGTGGTCAGACACTGACTCCATACACTCAGGTCAGGGAGTCGACTAGGCTCCAGCTGGGTTCCCGTTCCCTATACACAGCAGAGCAGAAAGAGCAGGTAAGACGGACGCGTGGTTTGAGGCCAGTTTTGGGAGACCTTTGGGTACTGACTGGAAGCATCAGGACTCAAGCCTGTAGGATACACTGAAGCCACATTTCACGAAAATGCAGATGACCTAAGCAAGTCCTTGCCGTATATGTTAAGGACTAAGTGGCAAGTTAGGGATGTGGAATTCTCTGCTTCTGGCCATGCTGCCAACCCCCAGATCATTGAGGGCATTACCCTGCAGGACTCGGTGTCCTCACCAGTGAAGGATGCGTCTTGATACTGATGGATTACTGACCTATCAGTGGCCAGAGATGGTTTCTCTGGAAGGGCCCAGGGAAGTCACAGCACAGCAAAGCACATGGAGGACGCGACCCCTTCAGTTGCTGCTGAAAGGTTGTTGCTGACCCACGAAAAGACACCGGGGTTCTTGGCCTCTGGAGGAGAGGAATTCAATCCGGGGCCAGAGGCGAGGCTGGATCGCTCAGAGCTTTTGTGTAATAAAGTTTATTATTAAAGTATAAAGGAGATAGAGAAAGCTTCTGACAATAAAGTTGTATTAAAGTATAAAGGAGATAGAGAAAGCTTCTGACATAGGCATCAGAAGGGGGCAGAAAGAGTACGTCTTCAGCTGGATGTTATATAGTCACTAGCAGTCTGATGATGAAAGAAAGGAATGTCTTAAAACTGAGAAAGGCACCAGGCCCCTCATCCATAAGATGCATTTGGGATAATCTTGGCACCAGAGGATTCATCCGGGGCCATAAATCGATTGAATTGAATCTTGTAGAAGGGCAGCTTACCATACAAATAGTTTCATTTACATAGATTGAAAAGTGAAAGTGAAGTTGCTCAGTCCTGTCCGAGTATTTGTGACCCTGTGAACTGTAGCCTACCAGGCTCCTCTGTCCAAGGGATTCTCCAGGCAAGAATACTGGAGTGGGTTGCCATTTCCTTCTCCTTACATAGATTAGGGGAACAATATCTGAGTATAACATAATGGTTTGTCAAGTAGGTTCTGAGCCATTAGGCGGAACCAACTTGAAGACAGAGTCTGGGGTAAATGCATAGCACATTAACATAGCTTAAGACAAATATTTCCATAGAAAAATTCATTGGTTAACTCAAGGTTTGAGAATAGTTAACTTCAGGTGAAACCAGGTGTCATTGTGGCAACACAGTATTTTAAGAGAAACCTTTTAAATTTGTATAGAGAAGGAAAAAAATATCGCTAGTTTGTTTCCTCCTGCCGCTTGAGAGAGAGAAAAATGTCTGAGACTTGCAGCCTATCTCCTCCATCTGGAGACCCCTGGCCGTCCTGCCTGTTGCCCTCTCGCTGCCGGCTGATTTTCTGTAGATGAGAACTGGGAGCCAGACCTCTGCTCTCAGATAACTGCCCGAGTCTGAGTGAAGAAGAGTTTCCGCTGATACGCAGTCTGTCTAGGGCTTTGCTTCTCAAAGTGGTGTCCCCAGAGCAGCAGCGCTGGCACTACTTGGGAACTTCTTGGAAATGCAGACTACCGAGCAGGTTGCCTCGGTACACCAGCAGACTTCTGCAGCGACAAGAACCTCAGCATCAGTTCGAAGGACGCTGGTAGCCACGGTCGACAGTTGCATGTTATACACTTAGACACTTGTTAGGAGAGTAGATCTCACGTAAGTGTCCTTTCACCATAAACTGAACCTTTGAAGGGCGTTGTTCTCAATGTGAGTGGTTCCACATGCCCTCTGCTGGCTGCCTTGCAACCTGCAGGGAGTTTCAACAATGTTTTCTCCTTTTAGGACCTTTGCGCAGAACTGCCGAAACATTGAACATTTAAACCTCAATGGGTGCACAAAAATCACTGACAGGTAAGTACCAGGTATCACTTTGGTGACTGCGAGGGGAGGGAAAGGTGGTTGAAAATGCCTTCAATGCGCCTGTCCTCTTTCAGCACGTGTTACAGCCTTAGCCGATTCTGTTCCAAGCTGAAGCATCTGGATCTGACCTCCTGCGTGTCCATTACGAACAGCTCCTTAAAGGGGATCAGGTAAGGGTGCCTGTCAGTGGCGGTCACAAGCAGTATCCAGGGCTCGGGCATCCTGGGGTTTGAAACCTTCCGCGTGGTCCCCCTGCGGCAGGAGGTCTCCCTCCCGGGAACTGTCGGCGGGTCTCTGAGCTCAGAGAGCTACCTGCACTCTCCATGGGATGGACTGCACAGGCGTGGCTGTTTCCTGTTCTCCCAGCGAGGGCTGCCAGCACCTGGAGTACCTCAACCTGTCGTGGTGCGACCAGATCACCAAGGACGGCGTGGAGGCGCTGGTGCGCGGCTGCCGCGGCCTGAGGGCCCTGCTGTTGAGGGGCTGCTCGCAGGTATGGGCCGCTCGCCGGGCTGGTCTGCGCGCGTCACTGGGGCGCCGGCCCGTCCCCTGGCTGGCTCCACCTCTTCTGTGTTCTCCGTTCACGCAGCTGGAAGACGAAGCTCTGAAGCACATTCAGAATTACTGCCATGAGCTCGTGAGCCTCAACCTGCAGTCCTGCTCCGTGAGTAGCGTGCCTCTCCCGTGCGCTCCCCCAGCGCGGTGTTGGGGCGTGGGGGATTGCCACTCCCTTACCTCACATCCTTCTGTGAGCCACCGCTTCCCACAGATGGAAGGCCAGTGCAGAGCCACGAGCATTTCCCCTAAAAATAGCAGAGATTAGAGTCTTGATTTATTTGAAGATATCAAGGATGCTATGAACTAGTCACTAACCTGAACAATTCCTGGGGAGGTCTTGGTGTCTTATGTTTACTTATAAACTGGGAGTGACGGCACCTCTCATGCTGCCTCAGTGGATAAAAGGAGATGACAAGTATGAAGAATAAAGGGTGAGGTGTGATTTGCATCAGTGCATGATCAGCCTGTGAAGGATGATTGGTTTTTTTCCACTGTCGATAATTGAGAATTGAAGAAGGTGCTTGCTGCAGCCAGCTGGGTTTCTCAAGGAGAATGTCATTTTTTAGAAAATTAAATGAAATCCCTTGTATTTGGCATTTAGTGAATGAATCACAAATCTTTAAAGTCCCTAGTGATAGGAGATAAAGCAGAAACTATCTTATGAGGAGATAGTGACTTTATGAGACAGCTTCATTCAGAAATAGGACTTGAATTGCATGTAGGGTAACAGTGGCAGGGGCTTGAAGTCTGACATAAATGTACATGTTTATTGCTACAGAAATTCCTGTATTTAAATAAAGATATTAATTTGAATCTTTATAACTAAATTCATAGACTTCTAAGCCATTTATCAATAATTCAGTGATTTACTTAATTTTGTTATTTTCTACACCACTTCAGGAAATATTATAAGAATAGATATCTTTTAATTAGTATTAATCTGTAGAAATCCAACCAAAAATTAATGTCACTTAACCAGACAAATCTCATGAGCTCTTTGTTAAATCTGATTTTTAACACGTTTATGAATTTTTCCTGGAAAAAGACTAAGAGATGGAATTTTAAAATTTTATTGTTAGTAATGCTTGAATATTTTAAAGCTGTGCAGAGAGAACGTAGATACCTGTCTTCTCTGTACTTCCCCTTTCTTTGGTTACACTATCGGATGAAACGATAGGGCCCGGGTAGCCCCGCGGTCGGCCGCGGGAGGCTCCGCGCCGGCGTCGCCGGGCTGACTCTGCGCTTGGCCCCGCAGCGCGTCTCGGACGACGGCGTGGTGCAGCTGTGCCGGGGCTGCCCGCGGCTGCAGGCGCTGTGCCTGTCCGGCTGCGGCAGCCTCACCGACGCCTCCCTGACAGCCCTGGCCTTGAACTGCCCCCGACTCCAGTGAGTGCGCCGCGCCTTCCGCGTTGCCCCTCAGGCCTGGGGCCGGGAGCGGGGTCTTCTCGCAGCCGCAGCCGCCGGAGTAGGTGGTGGCTGCTGTCGGAGGGGCTGGGATGGGACAGAGCGTGAGCGCGCTCGTTTCGGGCTGCGTGGAGGGCGGGACCCGAGCCTGCGTTTCCTGACGGGTGTCGCTCAGGTGCCTCGTCCTGTTATTACTTTGACATGTGAGTGATCTGATGGGAGCAGAGGGTACTGTTTAAAAGTCAGTACATACTGGAATAATACCAAAAAACGAGAGCAGTGGTGTGCTGGCATGGTGGGAAGAGCCCTGTGCTCACTGACCTGACTGGGGTGGGACTCCCTGAGCCTCCGTTCTGTGCCAGTGGGATAAACTCAGCACTGTGAAGCAGGCGCTGCTTTTCCGCGGTAACCAGCTGCCCCTTTGTCTCCCCTGCACCCCGCATCCCAGGATCCTGGAGGCCGCCCGATGTTCCCACCTGACTGATGCAGGCTTTACGCTCCTAGCTCGGGTGAGAGGCGTTCCCAAACCAACCAACCCCTCAGTCACCTCCCTGCAGAGTGACTTGGAGTGTTCCAAAAACGACCTTCAGAGATGACGGGCCCCAAGTAGAATAGAGTCCTGGTGGGGGAGGGGGGTGTGTTCTGTATTTTCTCCCTCGGGCCTGGAAGCTGGGGGGTCCTGTACCAGGAGTGGGGCCTGGCCCTCAGTCTCCCTTCGTCAGGCGGGGCCACAGTGGGAGCAGCGTCCTCCCTGCAGGAGATGCCCTTCCTCACAGACCCCGACTCTGGGCTCAGCCGCGTCCCTCAGCTGTTTCGGGCTCTGCCTCTGCCCGCCCGCCCCCCACCCCTGCCGCCCAGAGCCGCTGTCCTCCTGGGGCTGATGACTCTGCCTGCTATCACATCCCCCAGCAGCCACACTGTGGTGAGCGCCCCACCCCGTGTCCTCCCAGAAACCCCTCCGTGGCTAGAACCTACACGCTGAGACCTGTGAGCCCCTGGGAAGGTGTAGACACTGCCTTTCAGGATGAGAAGGACACGGGCCGCCCCAGTGCCTACTTCCATGTGACGGGGGTTCCGAGGGCACCTGCCCAGACGCGCCGGCTCACTGGGTCACTTTGGGAACGGGGTGTCTCATGGACTCTCGTGAACTCTTGCAGAATTGCCACGACCTGGAGAAAATGGATCTTGAAGAATGCATCCTGGTGAGTGCCCCCGACAGCCCTGCAGGGCGCCCCGCAGCTATGGACAGACGGGTGTAACCCGAGACGCTTGCACGCTCCGGTCTGGCGCCTTCTTGCCCCAGTACGGGCGTCAGGGTGCTCTGTACACTCTGGGCTGCTCTCAGTCATCAGCTGAGTTCAGGATAGCACTATCTTTTGTCAAAAAAAAAAAAAAAAACAAAAACCCCAAAACCCTCATTTTCACATAACTTCTGGGAGAGAAAAGCTTGCATGCCCAGCGATGAGGTGACTGCACAGAGAAGGACCCTGGGGGCCCCCTCGCCCCCTCCCACTTTGTGCCTTGTCCCCCTGGGGGCTCCAGGGTAAAGACGAAAACAGCTTCGCAACTCGGGGAGTAAGCAGATTTGAGGTTGCTGGTGAGGAGAGGAGCTCCCAGCCTGCGTGTGCTTGAGATGAGTTTTAATTCTCTTCTGCACCGTTTGGTTCTTGTGTTCAGGAGAAGCAGGGTTAGGTATTAAGCTCTGGTGTAGAAGCCACACTGACTCAGCATGTTTCTCTGCAGATAACGGACCGCACGCTCACCCAGCTCTCCATTCACTGTCCCAAGCTGCAAGCCCTGGTGAGTCAGCTCTTGGTGGTGGACTTAGCTCTCAGGGATGAAAGATCCCCCACCACCCTGCCCGACTACAGCAGGAACCTCCTGTCTGGAAGGGTGTCGTCATCCTTGGTTTCAAGGGTCTGTTAGTTGGGCTTACTTGGGAGGTAGAGTATCTACATGTTACTGTTTTCATTTTTGGATATGAACCTAACACAGGGACCCAGGTCCTTACACAAAGTCATGTTCAGCCTGTCAGAGTGAAAAGGTCATGTATCTATGGAGGGGGGATTAGTGAGTACACCGAACGGTCCACAATGAGCGGTGAAGAGTGCTGCACTCGGGCACGCTGACCTTGCACGCATGTTCCATCCGCTACTGGGCCTGGAGTCCCTGTTCACCCAGCGAGTTGTGTGAACTCGACCGCCTGCTCCCCCAGATACCCAGACTTGATCCCAACAGCACTGCCATGCGGGCACTGTGGGCACCCCCTTTTATCAGCAAGGAAGCCAAGGTGCAGAGTGCTTCAGAAACGTGCCCACATTTGCAGAGCTGCCCAGATGGTGAGGCTTCCTGGGCTTTGGTCTGCCCACTGTCCTGGGACGCCCTTAAGCCAGCTCCTCTGTCCGCCTTGGTCTCACTCTGTCAGCAGGGGCTCGGGCTTTATAGCATCATCAGAGCTCCATCTGGCCTGAGTTACTCTCCCCCCTCGCCCCCAGATTTCCACATTTCTCCTGGGTTCTTCTCCCTCAGGCACAAGTGTGCTAGGCCTTGGACAGCTCTGGGACTGTCTTTTGGAGTTTGGGGTCAGGTTTCAGAGCTAGTCAGCACCTACCTGTTTCCAGATTTTCTGACGGAACAGATTCCCTCTACTGTATCTGCGGATAATTTTGTGCTTCTCGTGTCTTCACTCCCAAATTGGTTGTGACCTGGTCTTCTGATTGACCGAATCTGCTCCTCAGATGGGATCTGTCCACCCCTTGTCCCCGAGACAGCCTTGTCCCGAGGTGTGAAGGAGGTTAGCAGCCCCAGGCTTTGTTCTGGTTTAACCTCCTTCCCCTCGGTTGCCCAAGGGCGGGCTCTCTGCCCTTCCCCGACCCTGAGACCCCCTGGTCTTGGACTCCCACCAGCTCCCCAGCTCCTGGAGCGCAGGATCCACTTCAGCAGGAAATGTTATTCAAATACTGTTGTCCCCAGCTGGGGTTCTAGTGACTTTGGAAATCTTCTCTATTTTCGCCTGTATCATATAATCTACTCACAGAAAGGGAACTTAAAGAGTAAAAGACACTATAGGAAAAACCCAAAATAAGGGCCTCAAATAAGAAAAAAGCATGGAGGATTCAGATTTAGCTGCAAGCATGTCTTGCAGGAGGGGTGCTCGTGCCAGACCTTGTCGTAGGCTCTGGAGTGACAGGATCACCCACCAGGGGAGGTGGCGTTACCCTAACCCAGACACTGCAGGGCAGGACATGTCTGGATCCCTGTGAGGGGTACTCCAGGGGCTACCCCACTTTGAGGCGGACGAGGCAGCCATGCCTCTGGGTCCCCAGGTGGAGCTGAGGGTCAGCGGCACCGCGGGTGGTGATGGACCCGCAGCCGGTGCCCGCCTCCCTGGGGAAGGCCGACCGCTCTGCTTCCACGCCAGGGAGCCCTCCCCCAGCCCCGGAGCTGAGAGGAGGCAGTGCTGGCAGGCTGAGTTCCACAGATGCAGAATTGTGAACCCTGGTTTTTCTCTTTCACTAAAGCTCTGCAAGCAGGAAGCGATGAGGGGAGTGACCACCAGCCCCTGGCAGGTGACGGCCACACACCTCATTGGCTGAACTTCAGTTCCCAGGTTGTCCTTTTCATTTTTCACACGAATGAGGCAAGTGTGTGCACACACCCCCTCCTCCCTTCAAGGAGCTGCTCTGTGATTCTCCGGAGGACAGGCTTTGTCCTCTCAAAAACCTGAATCTAGAAGGCAATCTGAAAGGGCAGCGGATGCAGACAAGCGGGCTCCAGATTCAGGAGAACCCAGAGGAGCTCATGAAGCTTGTGCAGAGGTTAGGGGTCCTCCTCGTTCTTTCAGTTCGCCTGCAGGGTGTGTCATCAGCGGGCTTCAGTGACATTAGGGGGCTGTTTCCTTAGTATCAGAGCCAGTTTTTTTGACTTTTAAAAAATATTAATGCAGCTCATTGCTCCTAGAAGCTACCCAAGAATTTTAGCTGTTATATTAAAGAATTATAGCCAATAAAAGCTGTATTACTTTGCTTCTACAAAAGTTTTAGTTTTCACCCTGATTTATTATAGCCTTTACCAGTGAGATTTATGCTTTCATATATGTTGTTATAATTAGTGCCCTTTTTAGCTTAACAGAGTCCCTTTAACACTTCTTGTAAGGTGGCTCACGTGTGTGTGGCGTGTACTGTGCTGTGTGACTCCACCAGGGGTGGAACTTGGGCCCTGGCGGTGAAAGCCCTGGGTCCTAATCGGTGGACCACAGGGAATTCCCACCTCTCCCCTCCCCCAATTCTGAATGATAACCTTGCTGGTATTCTTGGTTGGAATCGTTTATCCCTTTCTTTCAGCACTTAAGATAGTGCCCCTCCATTCTGGCCTGCCTGCAAAATTTCTCCTGAAAAGTCTGCTGTGTAGGTTGCACATAACAACTTGTTTTTCTCTTACTGCTTTTAAGATTCTTTAACTTTTCACATTTTAATTATAATCCCTTATGAGAATGTTAGTCCACTTGATGCGGTCCTGTAAGTCTGTTAGACTGTATTTTTTTCCTTTCCGCTGCTTTGATTGGCTGATTTTCACTACCAGTTTTTCAAGTCACTGACCCTTTTATCTGCTTCATCCAGTCTGTTCTTGAAACTCTCTGCTGTATTTTTCAGTTCAGGGCTGTTCTTCAGCTCCGTGACCCGGGTGCTAGTTTTCCAAAGGAGGGTGTCAGGCCCCCAGCCTGCTTTGGCTGGGGGCACGTCTGGGGGCCTCTCGCCAGAAAGATGGGGCGTCTCGGCCTGCTGTCTGCACAGTGCCTGGGGTGGTAGTCTGCCAGGAGTCTCTTCTCATGTTAAAAGTCCCGAGAGAGCCAGGAATACGAGCCCCCTTGGGCCGTCAGGGTCAGGTGAGCGAGGAGCAGCCCATATATGAAGACGGGGGCACAGGCAACTGTAAAACCTCCCCTCTGGGAGACGCTGGTGCCCAGTGTGGGGTTCAGTGAGAAACTCCAGGTTTTGAGTTCCCTCCTGATGGGGGGGTCTCTGGCCTCAGGGGTGGGGTTCATGACAGACCGCGGCCTCCCCTGCCCACTTACACCGGCTCCTCTCCTCTGCCCAACGTGGAGAGGTTGGCCAGCTGGTTTTTGTGTTTTTTTCCGGAGGCAGCTGGTCCCTGTGTAGCTGTAGACTCGCTGTTTGCGGGAAGAGGTGAGTTCAGGGTCCTCTCGGCGTGGACCGTCCCCTGCAGTGTCGGTTCCATCCCTGCCCCGGGGGGGACGATGAGAGAGGCCGCTGCCCCCAGGCCCAGCCTCCCGAGCCGTGGCTCCTGCAGACACTGCGCCTCCTCTCCTTTCAGAGCCTGTCCCACTGCGAGCTCATCACGGACGACGGCATCCTGCACCTGAGCAACAGCCCCTGTGGCCACGAGAGGCTGCGGGTGCTGGAGCTGGACAACTGCCTGCTCATCACCGACGTGGCGCTGGAGCACCTGGAGCAGTGCCGCGGCCTGGAGCGCCTGGAGCTCTACGACTGCCAGCAGGTCACCCGCGCCGGCATCAAGCGCATGCGGGTGAGCGCGGGGCACCCGCTGGGCCCGGAGAGCCAGCCTCCACGTCCCCCGTCTGGGAGGGGTCTGGGGCCGAGTCACGCCAACTGCCTCCTTAGACTTCTTCAGAATCTCCTTAGTAGCATCCACCCTGAAGATTCAGCTTCCAGCATGGGTCTGGGCGAAAGTACAGAAGGCGTTCTCAGTAGGCTTGACCTTTGCTCACTTCCAGGTAAAGAGCCTTAGTGGTGGCGTCCCTTCCCCGGGTCGCCCACCTGGTTGCTCTGGAGCATCTCAGAAGTTCAGTAGCTCTGCCCGTGGCCCCGAAGCAGGCCTCGGCGCTCCCCGTCATCGCTGGGCTTGCACACAGGGACGGGAAGCGCCTCTCAGCTTCAGAAGGCGGTTTCCGGGGGGATCACGCAGGAGCAGCTTTAGCGCACACCACCAATTCCATTGAGGCGATGTGCCGAACGGTGGAATGAACTAGTTCTACACGGAGAGCTGTGGGCTTTTCTGGGATTACGCGGGTAGTTGCCCTGCTGCCCACAGGTCTGAGGACGATGCACTTCCCGTCACTTTCAGGCGCAGCTCCCTCACGTCAAAGTCCATGCCTACTTTGCCCCCGTCACCCCGCCGCCGGCCGTGGGAGGCGGCGGGCAGCGGCTGTGCAGGTGCTGTGTCATCCTCTGACGGCCGCCCGCCGCAGGACCGCGTGCCGTTCTCTGCCGTCACCCAGCTCTGCTGATCCTCCAGTGAGAGAGGCGTTTACAGGTAAAAGACTGCAGGGACCGCGGTAACTCTGCTGATAGTTATTACCTTTGCTCTGCTGTGATGCAGTCAGTTCAAAGCCTTGTGTGTGTCGGTTGACAAAGAGCCGGGGCGGTCTCCGTGCAGCGGGAGCACACAGGAAACCTGGATCTCCCAAGAGGTGGTGCTGCCCTAGGTGCAAACCCCCCACCCTCCGCTCTGCCAGCGTTCCTCAACAGACCGTCAGCGTCAGCACAAATGGAGCAGAAAAATAAGCTGTTGGTTTTCTACCTGATACTTAAGCCAATGACCTCCTTTTATTCACGAGTCCATTTTGATTAGCAGGACTTTTCCACTTTGAAGGTTAAAATAGCAACTTTGTTGAAGTAACTATATTGCAAATTCACAATGCCTGACAGTTTTGTATTTGGAGACTTACTTGGAAGGCAAGGTAATAGGTTTCCATGAGACACCAAAGAATGAGGCCTCTAGAAAGGGTGGAGCAGGGTCTCCACCTTTCTCTCAACTTGTCGTAGGTCCTCTTGGGGACCAGAAACTGAACAAAAGAAACTCAGACTTTGTGCTGCCGATTAGAAATCATAAGCTCTGGGGTAGGTGGCAGCGCAAAATGTGTTTTTGTTAAAGAGCTGATCCTGTCATCTCACAGAATTTGGGGGACCTTAAAGAAAAAGAATTTAGGGCTCAAGTTATCCATACTATAATCAATTAAAAATAATAGATGCATGTAGAATGGGTGTGGTTTTTTCCAAGTTTAAGTCTTAGAAATTAGGTTACACCAGAACTATTCAAAAATTTTACACACTTAAAACTCAGCTCAGTGAAGTGTTGGCACCTTTGAGACTCAGATAAAAATAAAAGCCACCGCAGTGCTTAAGTCAGAGGGTTTATTGCTATTATCTCGCGGCAGACAGATCTGACCAAAAGCATTTTCCAAACTCAGGCATTCTAATGTTATCTGAAATCTGATAAGGATCTGGTTTCTACTCTGTGCTGTCCAGACTGTGACCTTCACTGAACCTCTGTGCTAATCCTTCTTAGCAACCAAACTTAAAAGCCCAGACAGCTCCTGAGAACCAAAAGAGAAATTTCCCCACAACCAGCAATAGTTCTAACAGAGTTAGGGTTCTATTAGGTGATTAGAATACAAGACCTCAGTTGCATTCTGGGAAGAGAAGGCAGACAGATAAATCAATTAAGACAATTATCAGAAAAAGTATTAGTCCTGGTGATTTTGCAGCATTATATACTCTGGTATTTCCTGATCTAAAAATTGTGTGTATACCATAGCAGTTACTAAAGTATACATTTATATCATTGTGTATGGGGGGAATGGGTGCTGCAGAAAGCTATGAGTATAGTTCCCGTTTTAAAAATTTAAATGACCAGGACCTTTTATACATTATCTCTTTTGAGCTCGGACACAACCTCTCAAAGCTATTGGACTCTGGCTGAATGACACAGGACTGCAATTACAAAACAGCAGGACCTCTGTTAAGGAAATCAGGTTTGCTTCCTCTTTAAAATGTGTGGAACAATCGCTGGATGACCTGTCCTCAGTTGCATTTGCTTTGAGAAAACAACACAAGGAAAACACCCCCCACCAGCTCTTCTAACGACATTTGGACTGGTATACTCAGAACATACACAGTGAGCCCCTTGATTCTATGACATGAAGTGACACTGGCAGGAACCTGGATTTTAAATGAGAGACACATTTGCAAAAACAATCGGAAAACATTTATTATACTGAAATGTGTACATCCTACTATTAAAAAAACAAAGTAGCAAATTTGCTGGTGCCATAATTTAACCTATTTCACTGGGACAGACTCATGTTCATTGCTGCTTGGTGTAATTTCAAGTTTGACGAGCTTTTTTTTTTTTTTTAAACCCCACTTGTAAAAACCTGATGAATTCAAAATAGCACACAGCATTAATGACGTTTATTGTTCCGTAAATCTTGAGACTCAAAAAGGAATGCTAAATAGACAAGCAAAACTCTAAAACAATGAAGAGAGAGCTCACTTCTTTCCCAAGTGATTGGTACAGAAAACATGTGGTCTTGGCGAAAGCAAAGGGAAAATGACAGAAGGAAAGCTCTCCAGCTCGGGGTCTATACAAGTGAGGGATGTTTTCAGGCCAAAGATGGAGTATTTAAAGACAGTACTTTCTTAAAAATATCAAATAACCCCCTTTATGAATAAAACAAAATACAAAGCTTTTACCCACTGGAATAGTTTTGTCTTTTGGGAGAGATTTCAAACTCAAGCATCAAATAAAACATTCAAAACCAAGACACTGGGTAAATAGAGATGGTATAATTAAAATACAATCGAAGTGTTTTGTTTTTTTAATTGTGTCTAGTACACCACAGGCCTCAAATGCTTGCTGATGAATTTTGGGAAGGCTTTGGGTGAAGGGAAGAGAGAAAGATAGTAGAAAAAATAGCAAAAAAGTGATTCCCTTTGAAAAGTATACTGGCCGACAAGCATTTGGTTTTGTGAAAGAGGCACTCTTTTTATAGAAAAAGAAGCTATTATGTGGTGTATAAAAGTCCCTAAATAATCACTAGAATGTTACCCATGATTGTACTAAAGCTCAGTATTTGAGAAGTAAGGAATTTTGATGGTGCAAGATAGTGTTTGTGATGTCTAGTGTTCCAAGAATAATTTCAACTCCTGATAATGAAGACCCCTTAACACCAAGTTACAAACTATCACACTGTTTTCTCCTGCTTGGGTGTATTTCCAACGTCTGGAACAGGGCTTTAAAAAAATGTTTAACAGGAAAAGGGGGTCGGGGGAGGCGGTTGCTAAGTGGTTGGAGACAGAGAAAAAGGAGAAAGAAAACCACATGAGTTTAAAAGGCATTGGGGATTCAAAAATGAAAACCAGAAACAAATGCTAAAAATGGAAGCAGAAGCAAAAAGTTTTTCAATAAATCTGTGACAAAGCAAAAACACAAAAGTCTTTGTACCTATTAGGATTTACACTGATCCTCTCACCAAGGTACTCTTGATAATGCAGTTTGCTTCAAGCCCGTCTTCCTGGCTTGGATCCTCCCGATCCGGCATGATCATGGCAGACGCACACCCTTAGACATCATTTTTCCGAGAAGGCGCCGCGCCTCTCCCCTGACCACCGATCGGCCCGTGTCCGCGGCGGCCCGTCCCCCCCCCCCAAGTCAGCATAAGGTCCAGGCCACAGACACCACACTGGCCCAGAAATGTCAATGCCCACAGTACGTCTACATTCATCTCCAAACCGCATACAGTGTAAAAAGACAGCAAAGGCTGCTCTGGACCTGTGTGTGCTGGCCTCTCGGGCAGAGAGGCAGGCGGCCTACCTGCGGGGCCGCGGGGCAGGTGCGCCTCTCGTCCAGCTCATTAGGAAGCTCATCCTATGTTTTCAATATGAAACATTTCATACGGTAAAATCCAATCCCAAGACTTCTTGGATTCAGTCTTCACACACTTTTAAGCGTGACTTTTATTTGGTGCTGAATAGAGTTCAGACTACGGAGGACGTCACTTCAAAATGATGTGGACGCCACCACCATTTTCAGCTGTGGAGAAAGGAAGGGACATTAACGCTCAACTTTTTTAACCAGGCCAGAGAATCAAGACTAAATTGAACTAACTCATACACAGGTATGGCAGAAATGAAACCAATACTGTAAAGCAAGTATCCTTTGATTAAAAATAAATTTAAAAACATAACTCATTAAAAAAAAAAAAAGGCAAATGAAAAGGCTGAGTAACCTGCTCCAGCCCCTCCTCCCTAAAACATCATGTCCACGTTCCCTCTGCCACTTATCTAAGCACAGGGCAGAGACCATCGAATAAACCGGGTGCTTATACCTACCTTTCCTGGAAATAATTAATAATCACTAGCTTTGCCTGCTGGCCTAGTGTTTCTCAGGAGATGGCGAGGAGCAGTACAGGCATTCATCAAGGAACAAATGAAATTTTTCATAAGGACAAACGTCTAAAAACAGGACACTGAGATGGGAGGGGCATCCTGGGATGCCTAACGCTAGACACACGCACTGCCGTCAGAGGACACAGCCACACACTCTGTGAACTACCTGTTACAGACGGTG